GCGAGACCATTTCAGGCTGGACATAAGGAAGAATTTCTTTACTGTCTGAGCCCCCAAGGTCTGGAACAGCCTGCCATCGGAGGTGGTTCAAGCACCTACATTGAACACCTTCAAGAGCAAATTGGATGCTTATGTTGCTGGGATCTTATGACCCCAGCTGACTTCCTGACCTTTGGGTGGGGGGCTGAACTCGATGATCTTCTGAGGTTCCTTCCAGCCCTCATGTCTATGAAATCTATGAAATCCATATATGCATGCAGACACCCATGTGCACACACATGCGGATGTGCAGACACATGCATGCATACAGATGCAGACATGCGTGCACATGCACACACATGCACCAACACACCCACCCACACAAACACACACATGCCTAGGCATGTGGATGTCTATGCATGCAGAGGCACGTGCACAGATGACCCTGCACACAGACTTGTGGATGTCCATAGATGCATGCACAGACACAGCCCCCTCCTGCTCTCCCAGGACAGGTCCTGGGTCCCCCCATGCTGGCCCTGAACCTAACGGCAGCTCACTGGAGGCAGCTGCAGCCTCTCACAGGCCAGGCTGACCCCAAAGACCTTGGTAGAAGAAGGGGAAACCCCCCAGGTCAGGCCGAGCAGGGGACAAATCCCTGCCTGCCCCCCACCAAGGCAGTGAGAGCCAGGGAGGCAAGAGCCTGTAGCCATGATCCTGCATGGCTGAGTCCCAGCAGGAGCATTAGCACAGCCAGGCACAGCCCCAGCCTGGGCTGCAGCCAGCACTCAGTGCCTCTGGGGGGCCCTCAATTATCACCACCCCAGTTACAAAAGAGCCAAGAGACAGGTCTGTAGCTTGAGCTTTTATTGGTCCTGGTACAAGAATCAACAAGGGCCCTGAGACCCAGGAGGAAGCTGGCACAGATTGTAAGCCGGCCTTCCTGCATTTGCAGAGCTCTCCAGTTTTCCCTTCAGTCTATCCCCTGCATTCACAGCTGGCTAACAGTCTAAGAAGTGTTTTCGGATGGGTTTAAGTCACATTTCTTGGTTTCACTTATGTTTGTGAATGGGCCCGAACCAGGTTTCCTCTGGACTGGGAAGGTGCCAGTTAGCTGGGATTGATGTCCCGGGGCAAGATACACTTCTGGAAGGGAGGATTTCTTACCATCATGGCCTTTCAGATACTGCCCATGTCTGAGGCCTGCAGGATGGGCACTGTCTACATGTTCTTGCTAGTCATACGCACAGTGTCGGGTGAGGTCCCGAGTCCCTTTAACGCAAGCTGCACCTGTTGGAGATGGATGCTCAGGCCCATTATTATTCCTCAGGGTTTGGTTCTGGTCTCTCTCCATAGGTGATGCATGGGGGGGGGCACATGCCCCCCAGTTTTCTGTGCTGATGGTGGGGCACAAAGTGCAGGGCTGCAACCTCGCCGGTGCTGGCACCCAGCAGCAGTGTTGCATCATCTGAGTTTCTTTCTAATCAGTGCCTCATACGTGTGGTCGGCTTGGTAAATCACTTGCTCCAGTTCAGCAACTGTCTCTCAGATCTCAGACCTCTTTTGGTGTCTTTGAAGTTCTTGACTACACAGAAGATGGATCAGGTTTTCAGGGCTATCAGGACACACGTTAGCTCCTGCGAATCTCGTGACGTAGCCGGCATTACTCAGCCACTTTCCACCTTTGAACATCTTCATGGTGTTGAGAGCGGTCCACCTTGCTCCTGCCCCAATTTGCGGGATCATAAGCAGCAGATCACGCTCAAAATTGCTTTCTGAATCCTGTTCTTTGTTAGAGAGCTGTTTTATGCACTTCTGGATTTGCTTCAGCACAGCCTGACCATTGTCTTGGAGCCTGCTTCTCTCCCTCTTCTTGGCTTGACTCTCCAGTGTTATGTCGGAGGCAGTCACTGCTGTACCCATCACACTGCCTACTACACAGATGACAAGCTGTCTGCTGGAGAGCATCAGACATGCAACAAAGGTCTCAGGGATGACAGCGTGCCACAATGTGGGTGATCTTGCCCATGATGCCCACTCTCCCTCCAGCAACATTTGCTATTGTAACTTCTCTGTGAACCTTGTCCACAGCATCGGCTATTACCCCAAGTGCCACTACGTGCTGCTGCAGCCTGTCCCGGGCCAGCAGCAACTTCTTCCTCAGCATTTTATCAGTGTTCCTCTTTAATAATTCACTAAAGGAGAAAAAAGAAAAGGGGGAAATTATTTCATACGTGTTAATTCTCCTGTTGCTTTCCATGGCAATCCCACTACGCACCCACCCTTCTGCAGGCCCCTCTGATGCTGTGACTGTCACCTCAACCTTTTTTTGGCTCAGGTGCAGCGGCTGAGCTCCCTTTACCTGCCCTGGTCCAGCTTGCAGGGAGGTCCCTGGCACCCTCCACATGGTTTCACAGTTTCTAGGGTCGGAAGGGACCTGAGCAGATCATCTAGTCCGACCCCCTGCCATGGCAGGAAGAGCACTGGGGTCAAACGACCCCAGTAAGGTGGTCATCCAACCTCCTCTTAAAAACCCCCAGGGTGGGAGCCTGCACCACCTCACTTGGAAGCTGGTTCCAGAC